TTGAATTATGTACTATAACCTAAGCCTAAGTCCACACACAAAAATGTAGCTGTACTAGCCTTTAAATCATACAGACTGCTAATACGGTACCTGTACATACTCTTCTGTAAACATTTCTATGTAGCAATCAAATATGTCCCATTGACCTCAGCCACAAAAATGTAAAACTACTTCAAATTAAATGGCCAGGACCAGATATGCTATATACTTTGGTGATTCCTTTGTAATACCACCTCCTAAAGCAAATAAATCCATGTTTATTTGCTTCTGCAAAGAGATATTAGTTTCCATAATTCAAACATAAGATGCCATATTCTGACTAACATTATCACAAAGCATTTCTAAAATATAAACTGTAAAAGCTCTTTTAATAAAGGTCCTACCCCCACTTTCCCTGTATTATAAAAAAAAGAAAACATCACAAGATTCCACATTTACTAAAATAATTTATAGGATTTAACACAGACTATGAAAGCTTTTCCATTGCCAAAAAATAATAAACCACTTGTCTACTAGAATCCATGGCTATGTTATTTTCTTACCTTCACACCTCCTAGCACTCTACCCTATAACACCTTATCATCTTCAGAGAATGTCTGCTGAATGAATTAACTATATACTAATATACAAAGAGGCTATCAAGAACTTTAACAATCCAGCAACTTTAAAATGTCTCTGAAACCATGAGCACGCAAGATAAGCACTCTATTCTGACTTGGATAATTATGAATTATGAATTAAGAATTCCTTGATGATTGGAAACAAGTATGAAGAATCCTCAAAGACCTCAAAATAGACCTTCCATTTGATCCCACAATCCCATTAGTAGGCATCTACCCAGAAGAATAAAATCATTTACTGTAAGGACATTTGCACTACGTTGTTTATCACAGCTCAATTTACAATCACCAAAATGTGGAAACAACCTAAATGCCTATCAACTCAGGAATAGACAAATAAACTGTAGTACACGTATATCATGGAATACTATTCAGCCATAAAAAAGATGGATACCTTACATCTTTTGTATTAACCTGGAGTTGAAACACATTCTTAGTAAAGTATCACAGGAATGGAAAAGCAAGTATCCAATGTGCTTAATACTCATATGAAGCCAGTAGATGATCTAATACACGCCCACTTAAGATAAAAACTCAATTCAACTCAAGGTGGAGTAAGAGGGAATGGGGCAGGGGGAGGGAAAGAAGAGAAGAGGACTGGTGTGCTCCCACTGAATGGCACAGTGTGGGGGTATATGGCACACGTCCTGCAGGCAGGACACAACCACAACAGGGTCTATACCTAACAAATCCAAACACTGTAACCTAATTCTTTGTAACCTCAAGTTAACCTGAAATTTAAAAAATAATAATAAAATAAAATAAATTTTTAAATTAAAAAAAAAAGAATTTCTTGATGAAATTAAGAGTTATGAGGTTCTAACTAAGGGCAATGGTTCAAGCCTTTAATGCTAGCACTCTGGGAGGCCAAGGCAGGAGGAATGTTTGAACTCAGGAGTTCCAGACCAGCCTAAGCAAAACAAGATTCCATCTCTACAAAAAAAATAGAAAAATTAGCTGGGCATTGTGATGGACACCTGTAGTCCTGGCTACATGGAAGGCTGAGGCAAGAGGATCACCTGAACCTAGGAGTTTGAAACTGCAGTGAACTTGGCCGATACCACAACAATCTATCTAGGGGCAACAGGGCAAGACTCTGTCTCAAAAAAGAGTTGTGAGGTTCTGAAGAGACCCAAAAAATGTAAGAATCACTGCTACTCTTTTAGAACTATTTTCAGAATCAATTGATATAATCAAAAAAGCCTAATTTTAACTAAAAGGGTATTGTTCAATATCATAGCACATACTTTCTCAACCATATTTGGCCTCAAATGACCTGTGACCATTTCTTACACTAAATCTACTCTCAAGGTAGGAAGATTTGCCATGAACAAGGACACTGAAAATAATTTACCAGCATCTCCAAAAGAAATAATCCGAAAAGAATAACCAAAGGATTGCTGGAAAAAGAAGTGGTCTATAAAAACTGGGTTACTTGAAGAACACATTCATAGAATGTATGCATTCAAGTCATATTTCTTTTAAAAGCCATGGTACCCACAGGGAAAGTTTAATTGCTTCCCATGATGCTGATTTAATTATAACAAGCTTCCACGTATCCATGATACAGTTAATTGTTCTGAGTTTTAGGGATTAACATCATTTCTCCTCCGTAGGTTTCATTCTTCAAAACAGAAGCAAGAGCTTTTTTTTTTCGAGACAGAGTCTCACTATGTCGCCCTCAGTAGAGTGCCGTGGCATCACAGCTCAGCAACCTCAAATTCTTGGGCTTAAGCTATTCTCTTGCCTCAACCTCCCAAAGCAAAAGCTATTTTAAAACAGTTTACTTAAAAGATACAAAACACCTTAATCCTCAAAATAAAAAGGGTCACAATTAACAACTAAATGCTCTAAGCCTTTATCAAGTTTTATTATGGAATAATTACATCTCGAATTCACACAGTTAAAAGTTAACAATTCCAAATACTGTATATGCTCACATCATCGTTCTTCTCCAAATGCTCAATTACTATCTATAGTTATTCTCTCAATTACTATCTGTAACTAGTAATTGAGAGATAGTTTTAATTTCTCTATTGTTTATAATTTTTAATCCTATACATATCTATATTTTATATCAATTACGCATTTTAATTTTAGATCTACATTTGGTTAACAAAAACATCATAAATAATGTTATAAACTCTCATTATTTCATAATAATGAAAGAAACCATTGGCATAGGCAATCCAGAAAGTATTAGCATCATGTATCTAATTAAAAATAAGATCTACAGAGATTTCCTTAATGTCTTACAGAAGTTAACATCATTGACACTTCCCGGGCCTACAACACCTAGACTAGTGGTCTTATAGTCTGCTGCATGTAAGCCAGACTAGAATTAAAAACTATGCATTTCTAAAGTGAGAATAATCAAGATTTTATAAAATTAATACAATATATGTAAGTAAAACAACTATATAAAAGTAACACAATACATTAGCAAAAAAATTCTTATTCAAGTAATTATTTCCTTAATTCTCCCTTTTTAACTATTCTCAAAAAAGAAACAAAAGTTAAGTGTGCATAAAAAAGCTTAATATTCTTGTATAAAAATATCAGGACTATTATTTTATACAGAAGAAAACGCTTATAAGGCCAAGCATAAACTGCTAATAGACTAAATTTTAAAATGTATTAGATATTTAATACCAGGTAGGAAAAGTCAACACCCGAGTTTTCTGTTTTAGGAAATTATCTTAAAGGCTATTTTTCCTTTAAGTGGGGTGTCTAGAGGTTAGAGGCAGGCCCACAGCCCCAGGCTGTTTTACTTAAGGTTATTTTTCTTAGGTGTAGCAGTTAGTGTACCAGTAATAGACATACTGACATCATAACCCCCTGATAAGACGCACTGAGGATATAATAACACTTCTGTGCTCTTCCGGCCAAAAATGTATAACCTCATTCTAACTACGAGAAAATAGACAAACCCAAGTTGAGGAACAGTCTACAGAAGAACCAATCATCAACATCTGCAAAAGAACCAAAAGCATCAAAGTAACATTGTCTTCAGAAGAAATAATGTTTTCTTTACAAATGGCAAGGTCATAGAAGACAAGAAAAATTAGGAACTGGCAGAGATTGGACAAGACTAAGGGAAGGTTACAACTAATCTATGTTGGGATTCTAGATCCTGGAACAGAAAAAGGAAGGTAATGGAAAAACTGGTAAAATTGAAGTAAGATCCTCAGTTCAGATAATGGTATTGCACTAAAGTTCATTTCCTGGATTATTAATTACAATTATGGAAGATATTAATATTGGGAGAAGATGAGTGAAGGGGACATATGAGCAAATTCCATAATTCTATTTTATGAAAGTCTAAACTTATCTCAATACAAGCTTAAGTTGTTTTTTTTTTCTTTTGAGACAGAGCCTCAAGCTGTCCCCCTGGATAGAGTGCCGTGGCATCACAGCTCACAGCAACCTCCAACTTCTGGGCTCAAGCGA